ACAACAAACAAAAACCTTAAAAAGCCAGACGTTAATACAGGTCAATCAATAGCTGCAATTGGGTGCTTAGGTGCATAGGTCCACTTGCGTAAGGATGGTAAAGGAATTTTGAATTCATTTATCCTCGCGTTTTTTCACCTTTTTTGAATGGCAGTCTTGCACAGACATCTACAGGGACTTGTACTTTTAGCCCGTCACAGAATAGCTCGACCTGTCAACTTTCACATGGGTACTCAAAGTGTAGTGCAGAGTTCTAACGCATCGAAAATGATAGTTTTAACCTATTTTTTGATTGTCCTTAATTGTCTTCTTGACGGGAAAGACGAACCTCATAACTTTAAACTGACTCTCGACACCCCTCTAATACTTAATTATTTTGTGGCCTTTTCTTTTTCGATAATCCACAGAACTCAACAGAGGGAAACATCGTTTGCGATGAGGGTAAGCTTTAATAATGTATATCGCCCTTTCGAGCACAACTAGAATGCAGCACAAATCTGGAGCTTGTAGCAGTTCATACCAAAGAATAATGAATTACTGAAATGATGAAGACTACATCTTACGCCTTAAGTTTACCAGTCAAAAATCAGCACTCGCGTTGCCTTCTTTTCTCTTTTTCGTACTGGAACTTGTAAGAGGAAGAAAACGAGTTCGAGCTTTACGAGAGGTTTATCATTCAGTCGATACACATTTACAACCAACAGCATTACGCAACAGGCGAGCGCGTGCTCTAATGTCACGCAACTTGTCACAGAACTTACAAGAATATCCTCTTGAGAATTAAGTTTCGCATGGTAGGATTTTTAACTCACAGCAACACACCTAACAATGGATATTCGACTCAGGCTGAGTCGAAGTGAAGCATAAAATGAAGATTCACCAATTTGGAATAAAAATTCGATAAAGTGTTAATCTGCACAGCATATCAGTTCCGTTTCGCTTTTTTATCCACTACTTATTCAGTTTTGCCAAAAAAAATAAATGAAAAAAACACGCTGTAACTCGATACTTCATGGTCACCAAAAATTTATAAAATAACAGGAAATGTATTTTTTCTCGTCTTTTTTTCGTCTAATTTTTCCTTCTTTCGTTTCGTCTAGTCTCTCCGCAATTCATCGAGATTCCTAAAATAGTTACAGAAGTGATGGAGTCTTCTACAGCCTCTGTCTC